GGCTGGGGGGGGGGGTTGGATGATAAAAAAAATGCTAAGGGTTGGGACTGAGGGCTGAGTAGAAACTAAGGAGGTGGGAAAGTTTTAAATAAAAAGTAGTAATAAGGATAAAAATGAAGCCTTCCATTTGATTTTCGCTATATTACTGCTAAGTTTGAAGAAAGTTGTTGACGATCCTGCATGAGTTTTTGCCATTGCCCTCTATTAATCACAGCAACATAGCTCTACACCTCAAGCTCCAGACTTCTGTGTAATCAAGTAAAAAAACCCCCAACGGAACGGCTTTTTTGCTTAGGCATTCTTAAGTTTCGGAAAAATTCAAATGCCTTTGGTGAGGTCAAAGGAGATTCGAGGATTCTGATCATAGAAACCCATCACGACATGGCAAATATGAAATATCGAGTAAAACTTGTGTGATTTGGTCTGGCAACTGGAATATCATCGAGTACCGAGAAAGAGTTTTTGTGTTCGATTTCGGTTGCCCTATTCAATCATACAACAGAAATGGCAGGATATAAATCACCCTTGACATATTATCTTTTTTAATAATAAAATGACAAGAGTGTTCCGCACAGTAAGGAGAAGGAGAGTTTTCAGGGATAATATGCCGCTGAAGATTACGCTTAAGTGGCTCAGGAAGCTTCATGAAAACAAATAGCTTTGGACGAGATTCAAGCAGATATCTACGAGTACAGAAGCCAAGCATCGCACCGAGGTTATGAGTAGTTCAGCGAATAAACGAGATGGCTGGAAGCCACGAATCCAAGTTCAGATCCGGGAAAGTGGCATGCTTTTACCCATCACAGACCGTACCATCTACCAACGTGCCAATGTATCGGCCTGTCCAAACGTCAATCAACTCGATTAAAAAGTAACTAAATCAAATGTAGTCAAAGTTAATCAAGGTGTCGATCGGTGTCGTGAACTCGGACGACCGGCTGAGGCGGTGGGCGAGGAATCATTGGCGGCAATCGAAAATGATGGTCATAGAAACTCATAAAGAAACCGGCAAATCTTTTGAAATCTACCAAAAACCAGGGCCATGGCGAACGTTCTGGGATGCTTAGGAGGGGAGACATGGCAGATTCATATTCATCGTATGAGTCAACGGAGAACAATTCAATAGACCGGAATTCTGCTGCTAGCGATTGCCGGCGACGCAATAAAATCGATCCATCTTCGAAGCGAATGGTTATAAGTAATGAAAAACAGTTGGTATCGAGGAATGTTATTAGCGGAGGCCTGAACTTGAGTGCAACGATGTCACTGTGACTCTTGCGAAAGCCAGTCAGCATCCCAAGAAACGAGCACAGTACAGAAGGCTCTGTACTGTGCTAGCTTCTTGGGATGCTCTGGTTGGGAATAATCTAGAGGAAGCCACTGATTTTGAGCTGTTTGTTATGAATCAGTTGAGTAATCTGGGAAAATAGTGTTCAGAAAGAAATGATTAAGCACCAGCAATCGACCACAACAAACCTCAAAACAACAGAAAGGACACGACTGGTGATGTTAGACTTCATACGTGTTCCTGGCAATGTAATAATAATTTCTGGTCCTTGGCTTAGATGTTATTGCACATCCACATCTGAAAGATGTGGTTTTGTGGGTCGGTCAACCCGGACGCTCCACGACAGTCGATTCCCCTTTAAGATCGAAATGGCGTTTCCAAGGCGTATGTAACCTATGCAATGAATCGCGATGTCCAGCCGATGTACAAATCAAACCTTTCATCCTCCCGGACGAGTTTGCCTCCAATGGACCATGGAGGGATAGACGGCTTAGTTAGCCAGAGCGAGTAACGAGCCTGGATCAGAACACAGGACCAAGCATGGGTCATACCGCGCCTCGAACCATTACACTACCATCGCCCAGTTTCAACGTTAAGGAGATGTTTTGATTAGCTCTGAACAGCCTACGGACGGACTGCATGAGATCATAGATCCATCAGAAAGCTGGAGAATGTTCATCGAACAAGTTATTGTATTATTGATCCTCATTGATTTTTGTAGCAAACGATATTTTCTTCGAATTTTCTCCTTGAGCACTGAAATAGACCTTTCTAGAAATCAATGAATATTATGAAACGAAAGAACTGTGGTTTTCTAGCCACGTTCTGTTGATAGGACTGCAAGATCAATCATGACTGAGGTAGTGCATTTCAAAAGTGTAATGGAGAAAAGCAACCAGCTGCGAAAATCCAAAAAAATAAACTCCGCACATTACACCACGTTGAGGAGTCATGTGTGGGTACTTGTGGTGTTTCGTTGTTGTTTACCGGTTCGATTCAATCGACAAATTCCATTGGTATCGTGTTGAACTGATATGATCAAGTACTACACTATCGCTAGCTTGGTCCAGGGATCGAATCCCGAGTCGATAGCCGCCCATGCTGACAAAGCCCTCTATGTTTCGGGGTCAGCAGATTGAAACCAGACTCTCCGGGAGAATGAAAGCACTGACTCGGGCATTGAATCGCCACTCACAGAACCCATACCCCCCTCCCAACTTGCCAGCGACTTTCTAGTTGTTGAATAACCTGATCAAAATGTATGGAAGAAGGGACCACGTTGGAGAGAGAATAAGACAAGATTAGTGAATGTCATTTCTTGAAATGTTCAATCGTTTGAAATTTGGCGTCGTGAGGTAGCTATTCTCTTCTCAAACGCAGGATACGCCATGAATCGCGCTGCTATTGGAAATCGTAGCGTCAAATGCATAGGTGTGTGATCCAGAAAATAACTTACAATAACTTGCTGATGCGCGAGTCAATGCCTTTATCCTCCCAGATGAGTTCGGCACCAATAAACCAACCGAAGATAAGTGGGATTGGTTGGCCTGGGCGGGTATCGATTCGGGACTCGTCCTGGACCATGCGTAATGGCAGTGCGCCGCTTGGCAATGCACCAACTCTGCCAGTCTGTTTCTATCAAACTTTCTTACAAGTCTTCTATGACATAAACCAGATCCTATTTTGATCGTTTTCAGGGGTAATTTCAATTTCCGTACCGAAATGCTGAATGTATTTCACAATTAAACTGGACAGAGTTCTTAAGAGCATACGATTGGTGGCTCCTGTTCGTTTCGAGTATGGCCGCGTTGGCGACCCCTGTATCTCCTTGACCGTCTACTACATAGAATAGGAGTGCAAACCTACGAGACAATCAGCAAGCTCATCAACTACAAGTCCATATGCCCTTGTCGTCGCGAGCAAGTGTAATTTGCCGGATCCTCTTTGGTCGGCGGACACGATGCCGTTCATTTCGTTCTTACAGACTTGTCATGAAGAAATCTGACCTTCAAGCCAAAGAAGGACGTCCTCAAATCAGGCGACGTACTAGCGCCACCTAATCTCCAACTTTTTGGCAGAGGCGCCCCTGTTGAGCTGCTGTTGACCGAGTTCGGGGCTGAGGCCAAAAATTTACTTTGTCAATAGGACCGCTTCCTCCTTCTTCCTTTTCGTGTTTCTATCCACAACAGTACCTCCCTTCCTTCCCTTCCAGAAAAGACTCCCGCTGTAAGGATAGACTTATAGTTCCAAGAAAAATCTTCAATTTGAAATGGTCCTAAACGCGAAAAGAACGCGTCGATTCCAAACTGTCGAAGAATGGGTAGTGGTGGTCCTGGCTTGATCTGGAGACGACATGGTTAACTTGGAGCCAAGTTTCCAAGTAGACTCTGTAATCTGAAGCAGTGGGGTGAGCTATTCGGAATGAAAAGCAAAAATTGGCAATAATTGGATAATTTATACGACCTGAATTAAATTTTACAACATTTGGCACTTTTTAAATGAACATTAGGACGAAATTTAATGGTAAATGACAAAAATACAAGGAGTTTCATGAAAATCACAAGCAATATCACACGAGTTATAGTTTGATCCGGCTTGAAGAACCACAGATACTGCAGGTGTGACGTTAGGTCAAGACGCGTCGCGTTATCCTTCAGTCGCCGCAAACGGCGCGCGCGGATATTGCGCGTCCTTACCCAACGGTCACCTCTATACATTATCACCCAAAAGAGAATGAGCTTCAGATTACGAACAGAGGAAATAGTTATAGAATGATTGCTAAGTGACTGGAAAGCACCAAAGAAAGGCAAATCGATTTTTTCCAAACAAATGCTTAGTTAAATTAATTAAATCAGCTTTCAAAATGCTTGGGTACTTGCGGGCTGTCTATATGAGATCTGAATAGAAGAATAATAAAATTGACATTCTCGATCTACCGTACAGCTTCCCATGGAAATTCCACAGTTAACCGTCATCTCGGCCAAAAGTAGGCGTGGTTGTCGGGCTTGCGCCGGCCTCTGCAGATCCTCTCTGCTACCTCACCTATACACTTCAATGCAAAGCAGGATGGGTTCGAATCTCGTANGTTATTGAACGGAGAGAAGTTTGACGATGAAATAGACGGTTATGATTTGAACCACCAATTGAAGAAAGGCAAACATTGCATAGCTGACAAGTAGGTATTGCAGAAGAATGAGGAAATCCACGGGCAGTGATGCGATATCCTGAAATTCAATCTGTGGGATTCATAGACAGTTCATTTTTGGTAAAAATTGAATTAATATAATAAACTTATGGATGGAATTGGTTCAGGTTCGACAAAAGGTACTGCCCGATATCAAATTCTGGATCGATACCCCCTAATCCATCTTCCATCCTTGGGATTGATTAATTGACACAAGTCCTGGCTTGTACCTCAGCTGTTTCCCTTTACAGGTGGGTTTTTGGAAGTAAATGAATGATTCAGAAAAGAACAGTGGTCACTAAAAGCTTTGATCGTTTGGGCTTATGAAGGGGAGGTAGAATTCGAAAAGGCGTGGCTAGAATCCTTTTTGAAAGGAGGCGGGTTTGAGTAAAGCATTCCGTAACAGGTTCCATCGAAAACTACTTCGAATTTCTATCCTACTTTCGTCTCTCACAAGTGATTTAGCTACTCCTTAACGCTGTCCTACACTATAACTCTAACTTTTTCATTTCTTGGACAAAGGCAATGTCATCTGTGCCCCAATGAAGCTGAGTTTTCCAGTCAGGACTATTTCCAAGTGTTGGAGCCACTCGTTTCAAAAACACTTCAAAATTAGGAAACATCGAAAACTGGACAGACGTGGGCTCATTAGCCGTAACTAGGATAAATCGTCTGCAACGAACAGCCCCAACCGGAACGAGCCTCAGCATCGGTTTTTACCGTACCTCTGACCATATATGGAGGTTGAGGACGTTCAATGGATGACAATTACTCTATTGTAGGGCCATTTTAAACGTCCACTGCAACTTTAAGGTAAACGGTCTACTTTTATTCCTGCAATTACGCCGAACCGTCTTCTAGTTAGTGTATAAAAGGCTAACCTGAATACCAAGCGGCCATCGTGGACC